AGCGTCAGGGGCCCGCAGGGCCAGGACCGTGGTAAGGCATCGGCCGCGCGCCGATGAGGCGCATGTCTGAGCCAAGCGTCGTCTGCACCTGGTCAACTGCTCGCCGAAGAGCCCGTGGACCTGGTGGCCGTAGACGCCCGCGGGGAGCCCTCCCTGGCGTTGGAGCTTGGTCATGGCGCTGTACTGGCGGGTGGCTCTGGTGAACCTGCGGATCTTGGTGCTCATGAGGCGATGCTTCGCTTCACGCTGCACCCTGGTGGCCCTCACCCTCCTGCCGCACCCGAAATCGATGCCGAGGTAGGTGGCTTGGGACACTGGCCGAATCGTAAATCCAGCACGTCGGACTAAGCGGGCAACAGCACGCGCGTCACTCATGAGGCTGCAGACCACGACCGATTTGTCCGCAACCTTGAGCTTCCTCGCCTGCAGCTCACGGCACGTGGTGATGATGCCACTGGCGAGCTCCAGGCGCACCGCCTTGCTGGAACCCTTGAATGTCTCCGAGACGTCGTCGACCCATAGCCTCGCCCCCATTCTCGGATGGGCTGTGGTGACCGTGACCATGACGTGGTGGGTCATCATCTTGGCGAAGCGGGTCCCCGAACGGAGACCCTGCACTACGCTGAGCTGCGGGTCGAACATCTCGGACACAGCATTGTCCTGCTCCAGACAACGGGGAGCAGCGCACTGTAACAATTCCAAATATAGGATAACAGGAGGAAAATCTAGCCGCAAAGCTGCGGCGACTAGGATGTCCCACGGGATGCTGTCATAGAACGTGGCGATGTCGAGCATCCCGTGGCCGTACTTGATGCCCATGGCGTGGGCAAGCTCCTCGTCCAGCGCCCTCAGGAAGGCCTCCTGAAGGCATGAGTTGCCTGGCAGGGCGGCGTCCCAGTGGCGAGCACTCTCGGCCGACCAGGTCTGGACTGTGGGTTCGCGCATCAATGACCACAGCCGTCCGAGCATCGATACTAGCCCGATGGCTCGGTCGCCGGCCGTCTTCTTGGGAGTGAGCTTCCCAATGACGGCCAACGTCTGCGCTGGCCACGCCAGTGTGGCTTCCACCGCCTCCAGGATGAGTAGCAACTCCGCCTGGCCCTCTATGGGAAGCCTCTGGTAGTCGACGGGGGTGACCATGTCGATGCCCATGCCTGCCTTGGCCTTCATACGTGAGGCCGCCTTGCCGATGTCGGCCACGTGCAGCGACGGTAAGGGGTCGTCGCTGGCACGGAGCCTGATCTGCCTGAAGAGTTCGCGCACATCCTGCAACTTGGGCGCCGTCGGGGCCCAGAGCTGCTGGTACTTCTTCGCCTTCGCGTCCATGAGGTCCTTGGGGTGGTAGACCAGCTGCTGGCCGACCACAATCTCCACTGGCGGGAGAGGCCCCTTCTTCAGAGACTTGTGGAGGATGCCGTTGGCCTCAGGCTCCACCACCCACGAGCGGAAGTCATGGATGGCCGCCAAAACGGCCAACCTCTGCGCTCGCTGCATGACCTTCTTCGCTGCGTGAACGTAGGAGTCCAGCACAGCGGGGTTGACCTGACACTTACCCTCAAGGATTCTGATCCACTCGTGCCACGGAGGGTCGAGACCAGGGCGTAGCGCAGTGTGAGCTCCGTCTGGCCTGTCCACCGCCGCCTTCTGCGCCGCGACCTGGTACAGCTCCAGCTGCTGGTGGCCATTGCTGCGCAGGCGATGGCGGGCGATGGCAGCGACGATGGTGTGGACCTGCGTCCACCACTGCGCACGCTGATCACGTAGGTGGACCTGTCTGCGGTGGGCCGCTTGCCTGACAGGGCCCTCCACCAGCCTCGCGCCGTGCGCACGCCGTGTGCGAGGGAGGTCCAGGCCATGGTGTCTGGTGATGCTAAGCTCCACCGTGGAGATCCAAGCTGCATACATTCCTGAAACTACAGTAGAGTGGGGGGCCTCAAGCCGAAATGCAACGGACTTGAGGAGGGACGGAGAAAGAGAATGAATACAGTCCTGCCCCGAAGCAAATCCGACCTCACGCCTGCTCTCAACCCAAAGCTCGCTGGGGATCTGAAACGCAGCCGACGGCGAGGGGTCGCTTTCAGGGGCCTGTAACGGACTGGGCTCAGGGCCCGAAAACTGAAAAGCAGACCGGTTTAAATCGGGATTTAAATCTTCCCCTGAACTCGGTGGGGGGGGCTGGCCCGAATTGGGAGGGGAACTACACTGAACTGGTACGTGTCCAGACGCATGTTGTTTCTCCTGACTCAGAGCAGCACTACCACTACCCTCCGAGCTTGGGTCGGGAAGGTTGGGGTGACAGGGAGTGTCGAGGGCATTACTCAACCCCCTGTCGGAACAGAAATTGAGCTGGTCAGCCCACGGGTCGTCCTCTTCGTCGGGCCAACAATCTTGAGATTCATCGGCCTCATCGGGAGGGGCCTGACCTACACCCTCCTCCGACGACGACGGGACCCCAGGGCTTCGAAAACAATCACCAAACAGCTCAGTAAACCTAGCTTTACGCGCCTCCAGGGCCTCCTGCTGGGCTACTCCCTGGCGGGCCCTGGACACACTGGACTTAGAACCAAAAGTGGGCTCCTTGCTGGGCCTCGGGGCTTGAGGAAGCCTGGGGGAGACCACGAGGGAGCGGGTGAGAAGCTGGAGCCCAGAGCTCCGAAACTCTAAGGCAAGACCCTGATGTGGCTTCCAAGGGACCGCACGCACAGCACAGATGGTTTTGAGAAACGGCGTGGCCTCGGGGCTGCACAGAACATAGTCGAGCACCTTGTCGCGCCCCTGTGGGTTGGCGCAGGTGCCCTCGGGGCCAGCTGTACGAATGACTCCATGCACATTCTGAACAAAACGGCTGGCTGCTAAGATGTCGGGCTCCATATTGAAGTCGCCCACGACCACCCATGGGAGCCTGATGGCCTTCAAGAGGCCTCCGAGCCGTTGGAACCTGACCTTGTTGTGGCCGTTCATCTGGATGCACGGCAAGGCGTAGAGCACCACCACGACGATGGAGTACCCTGCCATGTGCAGCACCATTGGAAGAAACCCATCGAGGCTAGCCTGGCCAGCCTCGCGCAGGTGGCCAGCAGCAACCTTGGCCTCAGGCAAGACGTGGGCCTGGAGGTGCTGCTGCGCCATGAAAAACTCGCCGCCTTCATTGGCCCGCTCCTCATGCTCCGCTGCCACAGATTTGGATGAGGGGCGGGCCGCATTGTGATGAAGCCGAAGGTGCGCCCCCCTCGCCTTCTTGTCCCACTCCCTGAGCTCCGACTCGGTGTGTATGTGAGTCTCTGCCCAGGCCCAGTACTCGTACTTGCAATAATTTAATTGGAGGTATTGCCACACCTTGGAAGTGAAGGCGGTGACATTAGCGTAGAACAATGTCGTCGTGCCCTCGGTGTGTACTTGTTGGTCTCGCGATAGTCAAGAGGAGGCCTCCGAGCCCTTCCCCTTGGCCTTGGCCTTGGCTGCCGCCGCCTCGGCCTTGGCCGTGAACTTGGCCTCCGACAACTTCTTGGCCTCCGACTCGATCTTCTCCGCGGCCGCCTGGGAGGCCTCAGCGTCCTGGGCCGTGGCCGTGGGCGCCGTGTCAGTCGGCGCGCTCGCCCCGACCTCTGGCTTGGCCTCCTCCTCTGCCGCTGCGGCTTGCCCGTCGTCGCCCTTCCTCTTCTTCCTCCTGAGGCGATCAGTGATATCATTCTGCATCTTCCTGGCGTTGTCGAGCCAGGCCTTGATCTCGGCTTCCTTGCCCGTCAGGTCCGTCTTGACGCCCTTGAGCTGCTCGTGGAGCGTGTCCAACGCTCGGCGCTCTTCGGGCGTGCACTCCATCTCGTCCAACGAGTTGAAGAAGCCCTCGTCCCACTCGACCTTGAACATGGCTGTCGCAGACGGCTCTGTTGTGGGCGGGCCCACGCCCTCCGCCTTGGCGACGGCGTGGGCGGCGGCCTTCTTGGCCGCCGCCGCCTGCGCCAAGGCCACAGCAGCCCTGCCCTCCTTGGCCTCAGCAGCCTCGAGGCTCTGCCTCAAGCGGAGCACGTTGTCCACGCACTGGCTGTGGTGGTGCTCCGCGTTCTTCCAGGCCCCGTCAGCCTTGCGAAGCACCTCGGCTGGGGACACCGCTGCCTCGGACTCGGCCTTGGCCTGGGTGCTGATCTTCTCGATCTGCTTCTTGAGCGCCTCCTGCAGTGCCGCGTCCTCGGTGGCCTGGGCCGCCTGCTGGAGCAGCTCTGTCACGGAGGTGCCTGCCGTGCCCTTCGCTGGCGAGCCCTTGGCTGCCCCGCCACGCCACGAGCCTCTCGGAGAGTGGCTGCGCTGGCGGCCTCTCTGTGGGGCGGCGGCGGGGGACGGGGTCGCATCGGGCTGCACTTCATCTTCCCAATGTACTCGACGTCCTGCTGGCTTGAATAGCGTGATCGACGCACCACATCCTGAGCAAGCGTGCCCCTGCTTGACAATGATGGAGTTCCACTCACATCGGCGGCACTGATCACATCTGGTCCACAACTGTGTCATGGCGGAATCTGGTCTCGGTGTTGGTCACAAACCTTGGGCTGTGGCGTGGCCCTCGGAATGGGTCCCTCAAGCGCTGCGGGGAAGCCCCGAGAATCGTGCGCGTGGGGTGCTAAGGCCGCTGGGCCCCTGCACCTGCTTGCGCCCAAATTGCTTGAGTGAGGAGGAGGAGGAGGAGGAGGAGGAGGAGGAGGAGGAGGAGGCAGGGGGAGGGAGCCAGGGATCAGGAGCGAGGAGGAGGAGGCCGCGGAGGAGGAGGGGGGGAGGAGGAGGAGTAGGAGAGGAGGAGGAGGAGGAGCAGGAAAAGGAGGAGGAGGAGGAGGAGGAGGGGGAGGAGTAGGAGGAGGAGGAGGAGGAGGAGGAGGAGGAGGAGGAGGAGGAGGCGGAGGGGAGGAGGAGGGAGGAGGAGGAGGAGGAGGAGGAGGAGGAGGAGAGGAGGAGGAGGAGGAGGAGGAGGAGGAGGAGGGAGGAGGAGGAGGAGGAGGAGGGGCGACTGCCAGGCTGCACGTCGCCGAAGTCCTGCTGGGAGGACATCTTCCTTGTTCGGCACCGCGAGCAGCACCTCCGGCTCGTCCGCCTGCCCGAGAAGACGGACGGCCGGTCGGCCGAGCAGATCTTGGCCTCGAAGGCCGGGGTCGGCTATAAGAGCGACCCTTCGCCGTAGCAATCTTCCCAGACATGCTCGCGTAATGAAAAATCACGACGGCAGATTTTTGCTCGCTTTCGGCCTCCAGGGGCCTTCGCCAGACTTCGGGGCCGTCCAACAACGACTTGGGACCAAAGGCCTGCTCCCAAGAGAGGCTCGGGACTTCCGGGGACTAGAATCAGGAGGGGAAAAAACACACAGACACAATTAATCGTCGATCCCGCAGAAAATATGGGAAAATATGGGAAGTGGGGGGCAAGACAAAAACCCAGAAAATACCGGAAAATATAGGGAATAGTTTTATTTGTGTGCATTTATTTGTGTGTCCCAGGGCCCCTTCATAGAAGATATCAAGACGACGGATGCGCGGGCTTGGCGTGGGCCCACGGAGTCCCCCGACCCCTGAGCGCGCTGCGACGGCAGCGGCTCTGCGCGCTGAGGTTGGGCCCTGGGGTCACAGGCGTCGGTTTTCTTGTTTTTGTTTGTCCCTGAAGCGTGGCTCCCGTCGGACGGGGCCAGGACGAGGAGAACTCCGTTCCAGAGCGATCCGGAACGCCCTCGGCACGTTCCAGAACGACATGGGAGGGCCGCGGCGCCCGAGACATCCTCCAGAGCCGCCGCATCTCTGAGATTCTCGACTTCTCCTCGCCCGATGTTATCCTCGTCCTGGCGTCGTCTCAATGGAGGATGACGATTGATAAATGACCTGGGGTCGTGTTGAAGCGGCGGCGCCCCGGATGACGATTAGAAAAAACCGGCCGCGGGCTGGAACACTATTTTTAAAAATCGTTCTCCTCCAGTCAGAACATTTTGCCGAAATAGCAGGAAACTGTGTTTTCCAACCATCCTGTGGTGTTGGGTCCTCGTTTTGAAGAGACAGCGCCCCGCGTTCACTCCTTCCTCCCGCTGCCCCCTCCCTCGTCACCGCACCCATTTCGGCACACCCCTCACACGTTTCGTGGCCCCATAGGGAGCTCCACCGAAGGCCCCAGTGGCTGCGGGCGCATGGCGGCGCCGCACCCATTTCGGCACACCCCTCACACGTTTCGTGGCCCCATAGGGAGCTCCACCGAAGGCCCCAGTGGCTGCGGGCGCATGGCGGCGCCGCACCCATTTCGGCACACCCCTCACACGTTTCGTGGCCCCATAGGGAGCTCCACCGAAGGCCCCAGTGGCTGCGGGCGCATGGCGGCGCCGCACCCATTTCGGCACACCCCTCACACGTTTCGTGGCCCCATAGGGAACTCCACCGAAGGCCCAGTGGCTGCGGGCGCATGGCGGCGCCGCACCCATTTCGGCACACCCCTCACACGTTTCGTGGCCCCATAGGGAGCTCCACCGAAGGCCCCAGTGGCTGCGGGCGCATGGCGGCGCCGCACCATTTCGGCACACCCCTCACACGTTTCGTGGCCCCATAGGGAGCTCCACCGAAGGCCCCAGTGGCTGCGGGCGCACGGCGGCGCCGCACCCATTTCGGCACACCCCTCACACGTTTCGTGGCCCCATAGGGAGCTCCACCGAAGGCCCCAGTGGCTGCGGGCGCATGGCGGCGCCGCACCCATTCGGCACACCCCTCACACGTTTCGTGGCCCCATAGGGAGCTCCACCGAAGGCCCCAGTGGCTGCGGGCGCATGGCGGCGCGCACGTCGGCGTTTCGTGGCGCCGCACGCAGCTTTCGGCACACCCCTCACACGTTTCGTGGCCCCATAGGGAGCTCCACCGAAGGCCCCAGTGGCTGCGTCCGCATGGCGGCGCCGCACCATTTCGGCACACCCCTCACACGTTTCGTGGCCCCATAGGGAGCTCCACCGAAGGCCCCAGTGGCTGCGTCCGCATGGCGGCGCCGCACCCATGTCGGCACACCCCTCACACGTCTCGTGGCCCCATAGGGAGCTCCACCGAAGGGCCTAATGCTACCGCCCTCATGCGTCCCGTACGCCCAGGACAGCGTTTCGTGGCACGCCTTTCGTGGCCCCATAAGGAGCCCCACTAATCGTTCTCTCCGCAGTTTCCCCAACCATCCTGTGGTGTTGGGTCCTCGTTTTGAAGAGACAGTGCCCCGCGTCTCCTTCCTTCCTTCCTCCCGCTGCCCCCTCCTCCTCCCCCTTCCTCCCTCCTCCCTCGCATCATCATTATCATCGTCATCGACATCATCATCGTCATCGTCATCGTCATCATCATCAGCACCATCATGGTCGTCATCATCACCATCGTCGTCATCATCACTATCATCTTTGTCATCATCACCGTCATCACCATTATCGTCATAATCCACACGACCATCATCATCATCAGCATCATCATCATCGTCATCATCGTAATCGTCATCATCATCATCATCATCATCATCATCATCATCATCATCATCATCATCATCATCATCATCATCATCATTTTCATCATCATCATCATCACCATCATCATCATCATCATCATCATCATCATCATCACCATCATCATCATCATCATCATCATCATCATCATCATCATCATCATCATCGCTGTCCTCATAATCATTTCCATCATCGCTGTCATCATCCCTCACACGCTTCGTGGCCCCATAGGGAGCTCCACCGAAGGCCCCAGTGCCACCGCCCGCATGCGTCACCTACACCCAATTCGGCACACCCCTCATACGTTTCGTGGCCCCATACGGAGCTCCACCGAAGGCCCCAGTGCCACCGCCCGCATACGTCACCTACACCCCAATCTGCACACCCCTCACACGCGTCGTGGCCCCATAGGGAGCTCCACCGAAGGCCCCAGTGCCACCGCCCGCATGCGTCACCTACACCCAATTCGGCAGACCCCTCACACGTTTCGTGGCCCCAAAGGGAGCTCCACCGAAGGCCCCAGTGCCACCGCCCGCATGCGTCACCTACACCCAATTCGGCACACCCCTCACACGCTTCGTGGCCCCATAGGGAGCTCCACCGAAGGCCCCAGTGCCACCGCCCGCATGCGTCACCTACACCCAATTCGGCACACCCCTCACACGTTTCGTGGCCCCACAGGGAGCTCCACCGAAGGCCCCAGTGCCACCGCCCGCATGCGTCACCTACACCCAATTCGGCACACCCCTCACACGTTTCGTGGCCCCATAGGGAGCTCCACCGAAGGCCCCAGTGCCACCGCCCGCATGCGTCACCACACCCAATTCGGCACACCCCTCACACGCTTCGTGGCCCCATACGGAGCTCCACCGAAGGCCCCAGTGTCACCGCCTGCATGCGTCACCTACACCCAATTCGGCACACCCCTCACACGCTTCGTGGCCTCATAGGGGGCTCCACCGAAGGCCCCAGTGCCACCGCCCGCATGCGTCACCTACACCCAATTCGGCACACCCCTCACACGCTTCGTGGCCCCATAGGGAGCTCCACCGCAGGCCCCAGTGCCACCGCCCGCATGCGTCACCTACACCCAATTCGGCACACCCCTCACACGCTTCGTGGCCCCATAGGGAGCTCCACCGAAGGCCCCAGTGCCACCGCCCGCATGCGTCACTCCCGCCCACTTTGGCACACCCCTCACACGCTTCGTGGCCCCATAGCGAGCTCCACCGAAGGCCCCAGTGCCACCATCCACATGCGTCACCCCCATCCACTTCGGCACACCCCTGGTGCAGGAAGACCCCAGCGCCACCATCCACATCCCCGAAGGTTCAGTGCCACATCCTCCTCAGCGGGAAGACCGCCATGGTGCAGGAGATCGTGCTGCCGGCCATGGACGCGTTGTTCCCTGTGGAACCGGGCAAGGCGAAGTCCACGCTGATAGTCTGCGCGAAGTGGTCTCAGGCCGCGAACATCTTCACGGACGCTCACGAGGCCGTCAGTTGCCACCGGGCGGGAATCATCGGAGTGCAGTCCTTCAGGAACAAGGACATACCCGCGGGGGGCAAGCTGAAAGCGCTGCAGGACACGTGGGAGGCGGTCAGGTGCCTGATCCTGGAGGAGGTGAGCATGATCTCGCCCAACCTGTACAACATACTGGCATTCCGGTCCTACCTGGGACGCAAGGCCGAGTGGGGCGCGGAGGAGCGGGAGAACGACCAGGTCGGCGGCGCCTTCGGCCGGATGCCCATCGTGATCCACCTGGGGGATTTCCTGCAGCTGAAGCCGACGGGAGGCAAGGTGTCGCTCACCTCCAGCACCGAGGAACTGGCAGCGGCGGGCATCAACCTCGCCCCAGAGTACCAGGCAGTGATGAAGCTCTTCTGCAACACGCCGCTGTGCTTCGATCTCCAGGCGTCCAACCGCTTCAATGACACCAAGCTCCGAGATCTCATGGCGCTCCTGCGCAAAATGGGGTAGCAGGTCCCTCCGGCCATCCGGGCCACGTGGATGGCCATGCAGCTGAAACCCGATGATCGCCGGCTCCGGGAGGAGAGGTTCCAGAACGGCCACATGATCGGGTTCTACTGGGACACCGTGGCGCGGTGGATGAACATGCGTGCTCAGCGGGACGCGGACGTCCTGAAGAAGCCCCTCTTCCTCGTGCATGCCGCCGACAGGTCTGCGCCGACGATGAGCGCCAAGGACGCCGCCAAGATGATGAACTGTGCCAACCCGAAGAACACCCGTGGCATGCACGGGCTGCCCCCGGTGCACGTGGGCATGCGGATCCGGCTCCTGGAAGCGCTCGACCTCAAGAACGGCCTCGTCAAGGATGCCGAGGGGCAGATCGCGCACATCGTCGCGGACCCTCCAGATCGAGACGACGAGCCGAGAGAGAGGGTGAGAAGAGGATCTGCCTGAAGCGCTTGCCGCTGGGGTTCTGGGTGCGCATGGAGAAGTACGCGAGCGCGCCCTTCGTGGGCGACCTGAAGCGCCGCGACGACAGCCTCACGGGGGACCTCGCGGGCCCGCTGGTGTTCATCGAGCCCCGCACGTCGGAGCCGTTCACCTTCCGCACCTCCAAGGTCACGCGGACGGGCTTCCCGTTCTCGCACGGCAGGGCCATCACCGCGGTGGCGTGCCAGGGGCGCACCATGCGAGAAGGCGACGGGGCGCGGGAACGGAGCTCCGGAGACGGCCAGACCTCCGGGGCGCGAGCAGTCCGCGGCTAGACCTCGGTCCTGCGGACTCTCGCCCTGGGCCGTCGGCTGCCCGGCGCACTGCCCCCTCGGCCGACGTCGCCCAGGCGTGATCCTGGACTGCGGCCGCCGCGAGGTCGGGAACGGCAAGACGGAGGACGACGATTGGTGGCTGGAGCTCTACGTGCTGCTCTCGCGCGCCACGCGCCACGAGGACCTCCTGCTCGCGCGGGCGCCGCGCAACGAGTTCTTCCTGGCAGGACCGCCGGAGGGCTTGCGGAAGCAGCTGGAGCAGTTTGCGGCGCGCACGAAGCGGTGCAGGAGGGAGGCGACGGCCCTCGCCAGGGAGCTCGGCTTCGCCGAGTTTATCCGCGAGGCCTGACCTGAGGAGCGCCCCCCCCAAGCCGCGCCTTCTCTCGACTGCCCGACTACTTGTTTGTCCTCGCGCCGCGGACGACCAGCGCGCGTCGCTGGGGCCCTCTCGGGGCGACCAGCGCGCCTCGCGGGAACTCCGTGCTGC